CCTTTGTAGGTAGTTTTTTTTTGATCTTATATTTAAAAAAAAACTTTTTTAATAGTGAGGGACATTTGAATTATGTTTTCACTTTTAATTTAGGAACCCATCTTTAGCCATATGTTCTGTTTAGAAAATCACAACCCAAGACTCTCTTTTTTTTCACTTGGATTTTGTTTAAGCTTTCTGATACTGAGTCTGTTCAGAAGTCATTTGGATCATTGGAAGATTTACAGCTGGCCTTATGGAGGATTTGTTCTAATCCAGATGCTATACAATTGTAGTGAAAGAGTGTGAAGGTTCTGTCTACTGAATTGTTTTTTGTTTGTATTTTTTCCCATACTATCTTTAACTAATATATTATAGGATTATAACATTATAACTTATAAACTATCATACTATAAAATAAATTATCAAAGTTTTTTATTATATCATTAGATATTTGTTAAAATATTTCCATTGCTCTAATTAGATATATTATATAAATATCACATTACTATATTTTATTTAAATATTTTCTTCATTAACAATATCTTATAATATATAAATAAATAAATAAATAATATTTACTTATAGAAAAAAAAATAATTAAATTATTAAAAAAAAATTTTTTTTTTTTTACTTCTTTTTTAGTTACTTTTTATTTCAATTTTTCTTTTTTTTTCTTTTTTAATTTCTTTTTCTTATCTCTTTTTTTATTTTTCTCTTATTTTTTTTCTCTATTTTTTAAACTTTTATTTTATATGCTTTCTTTTTCTTTTTTTTTTCTGAAGTTTTTTCTCTTTAGACTTTTCTTTTTTTAAAAAATATTATTTTTTATTTCATTACTTATTTAATTTAAGGCTAATGATAGGTCTCTAAATTAAAGATAATAATATAATTCAAATGTTTTTTTAAAATATAAAATCAAAAAAAAAAACCATCTAAAAAGTTTTTTGCATTTTGATTATTTGATTCAAATGTTTTTTAAATTATTGTATATCTTTATTAAAGTAATAAAAAAACAATTATACTCCTTTAAAAAAGATATAATTGATTTGTCAAATTTTATATGTTAAATAATTTAAGGATTTATTTTTATCTAGAACTTTGAAAAGTACTAAATTGATATTAAAATAATATTCATCTATAATAAATTTAAATATTAAATTAATATTAAAGTAATATCAAAGTGATATTATTAAGAATCTTATTCTGACCAATTAAATTTCTTTCTTTAATAACTATTTAAAATATGAACATTGAAAAACTTTTTTCTTTTATATTTTTTTTAAAAAACAAATAGTTTACTTTTTCAAAAAATTAATATAGTCATTATTATCAAATCCAATATTGTTTACTTGTTAATGGTTAGACTAGATATATTTAAGAAATTATTGTATAACTATTATTATCCAAATATTCAAAAAGTTGTGCTCTATAATATTCAAAAAAAATATTAGTCAATATTAATATAGCAATATTAATATTAAATTATTGCAGATATTATATTAATAATTAATAAAATCTAATAGATAATATGTGATTTCTGCAAATAAAGTTAATAATAATAATAAAAGTATTTTGTTTATTTTTCAATAATATAGATTTAATATATAAGATTAGATAATAATATTTATAAGAAATTCTAATTTTATTATATTTAAATATTCTTTTTAATAAATTATTATTTTATATTTAAATTCTTTCTTATATATATTTTTTTCTATATTTAATTAATTCTTAATTAAATATTTAAATAATATAACTTTATATATGAAGTATTTTATAATATGCAATTATTTTCTTTTTTAATTTAAATTTTGTTTAATCTTTCTAAAACAGTTTTAGAGAAGTTAGATAAATTAATTCTAAATATATTAAATAAAAAACCAATTTTTATTAATAATATTTAATCAAAAAAGTGACTATTTAAATATTTAAATAAGTTATTTAACTGAAGTTTCAAGTATAACACTACTCTTTACCTGTTATATATTAAGATCTATTTGAAAAGCAAATATATCAATTCTAATTATTATTTGGAGACCAATCTGTATATAGTGGTTGTAACATTTTTATATAATTAAATAATCAATTAACTCTAGATAGCTAGATGCTATTTAAGATATAATATAGGTTTTAAAATTCTTTTTTTATATTCTTAAATAATGCCAAGAAGCATAAGAAATAGATCAATTGTAAACTTTATATTTAATTTTTTCTAGCAAAAAAAGATATATATTATACTATTTATATTATAAATTTTGTATTTCACAAGTTTAAAATTATAATAAAAGAATAAATTTCTTAAATTACTTTTTTTAAAATTATAATAAATAGTAAACATATTTATACTAATTTTAAAATATATTTATTTGCAAATCTTTTATAAATATAAAATAATTTAATATTATATATGTTTTTTAAAAATAATATTGTAAAAATAAGTATAAAATAAATAAAATAAATTAGAAGATTTAAAGATATTTATATATTTGCTAGAATTAAAGCTCTGAAAAGTACCAAATTGATATCAAACTGATATCAAAATAATATCAATCTATAATAAATTTAATATAGAGATTGTGATCCATTTATATAAATTTATAATATTGAAGTGGTATCAAAGTAGTATCATTAAAAGCCCTAGCTAGAATATATTGTTTATATGTTTAAAATTTCATGTAAATTGCTTTTGTAAAAATTTTATTTATATTTTTTTATGTAAATAAAATTCTAAAAAATTTTGTTACAAACTGTAAACTTCTTTCAATTACTAAATCTACAATAATGAAACATAATCAGACCGTAAATTCATAATAAAGATAAAGTAAACTAAGGAAATCTTTAGAATATTGCTTGATTAAACATTGTCCTCTTAGGAATCCTATGGAAAATAATAATCTTAACAATACCTAAGTTGCAAATTATTTTCTTTATAATCATGAGGATATCTGGCAGTTAAAACACGCCAAATCGTATACTGTAAAGGATTTATTTCAAAGTGAAACGTGCATACATAGTAAACTTTAAAATTCCAAGCTTTGAACCTTTCATATAAGAAACAATACTTCTTTATTTCAAGGGAACAGCCATCAATGCTAAATTCTCCAAAGATGTTTGTGGTTCGACATAATAAATTAATTCGGTTTCAAAACCATTTTCTTTCAAATATCTGTATCGACCAAAGTCCAATATTCGCTTGCACTTGTATCCTAATGTTTCACGTGTGCAATAGTCTAATCCAGAATAATGTAGCCTGATATCATAGAATAAATTAATGTAGAAAGATTATGTATTTTCAAAAAAAAAGAAAGCTCTATTGGCCTACTTGCTTTGTATCGTCAAAATCATAATAAGCATGTTCTCCAATATCTTCAACATCGTCATTTTCGTTGCTATTATTTTCCTCGTGTTCGCCACTTTTATTGTCATCATGATTTGATCTTTGACCGCAGATCGCCCAACTGCTCATTGCGCATATTCCCTTAAAGTCACTTTCTGTAATTCCAATTTCTCTCAGATATTCCTGATTCGGATACATATGATATTGACAAAGTTGATGACAGCATAATGCGATGATAATTCCGCTTACGGGTTCCTTACTTGTAAGGTGGCATCGTGTTACCCATGTATTATATGCAATATATGACCGTCCAAAAGAATAATAAATGATATACAAACCTTTCCTTCTCGAACTTAACGTAATTCACTAACGATCTTAACGTGACATCTGTAGCCGATCCACAAAGATGTTTAGAATATGCGACGATTCTCTTGTCCTTAATCAAATCAAGTTTCGAGAAGTCGACATCCTTGATGTCTATTCCTATTCGCCTCACAGTTGATCTCTTATCGGAAATTTTGCGAATTCCCGAATCAAACTATTGTTTAAAAAATCAAAATAAAAAAATCATTTCAAGAATAAACCCTAAACATGACATTACTTCAAATTACCTTACAACGAGTATTTTTTCTATCAATCAAAATAAATGTAGACTTCCCTTCATCATCCTTGATCGCAAGTTTTGTGAAATACGATAATTCACCTATAAAATTAATTAATTGATTAAAACAAAGTAAATGCATTGGTAGAATAAAAATTACCTTTTCCACTACCAAACTCCACAAAACATCCATCTGGCTTCAGCAAGTCTAAACGGGCCATGTGACCCAATAACGATGCCTATCGTTTAGCATAATAAATCATCCGTGAACGGACATTTGATGATAATGCTAAAGGAATTATGTTGTTCTAATACCTGTTGTATTGCATGCTTTCCATTTTTAAGGATTTCCCTTTGTAGAAAGGGAAAATGATTAGTTCATGAAACAAATTGATATTTAATCCTTCTACCACGACCCACAGAATAATTCTGGTAAACATGACCGTACCTTTTCTCCCTCAAGGCATCATGATCTAATACTAAAGTACTAATTTGCAGCCCAAGTTTGTCAAACCAATTGTTCACATTATATATCAACTTTTCCAATGTTTCCTTGCTCAGCTCAGAAAGCGTCAATTTTTCGTCTTTTTCAGGTATGGGAAATGTGCAATTGATGTTTAAAGAAAAGTATGGTGGATTCGGTTGCGGACGTGAATTACACTTATGTTTCAAATGATCTTCCAGATCATCTTTGTATACTGTGCTTAGTGGATATTGAATATATAAAATGGTTTCATTAAAGTGAAAAGCAAATCGATCTTATATTTTAAGAACTCTTTAATAGCATACTGTGATAGATCGTATGGACAAAGGATTCGTTCTCTTGTAGTCGTCTTTGGATCATGATTCAAATGTTCGCCACAGTAATCATTATCAATCTTTGTGGGTAAGTGACAATATCGTCTAAATATTCTTCGAGTCAATTCGTTTATACATTATTCTTGAGCACGAAGTAATCCAGACTTGCCTTTTTCGTTTAACCCAAAAATGACATTGACGAGGCTTTGATGGTTAATGAAAGATATTAAAAAAAAAAGAACATAAAAATGACCAATAATTTCCTAAAGCGATCGTGAAAAGAATACTTTCTCACATTATTAGGAGGAGGAGGTATGGTTTCTTCTTTTTTTGATCGTTTTAATTTGTACTCGCTCGACATTACGAAAATTATGATTGAAAATTATTTATGCATATACTACGGTCAACTCTACGATTATCAAAAAATTTCCGGGTCCCGGTTTACTCGATAAAAGAAAATCTGATACACGGGGGGTTTTCAAAAAAATCCGGAATTTTTTTTAAACTATGTATTAAACCTTTTATTTTAAGTATATATGATTTACATATTAAGTAAGCGTAATATAAACAACCAAATCTATATGCACTAAAAATGTGGCTAATTTTAAACATTTTATTATTAGCATTTAGAGTTTACATTTCGTGCGGCGATTTTTTGATTTTGATTCTAAATTTAATATTGGTATTATTTCTAAAACCAATGTTTTAACAAACATTATATAATTTTTATTTTATTATATAAATTGATTTTAATAAATTAGGTTAACTTATTTACTATAATGAATTCTATCTATAATAAAAAAAAAAACTCTTTCCCACTCCCCCTTCTGCACTTGGAAATTTCCTTTTTAGGAAATTTTTAAGTATTTACTCCTTTTCTCTTCGCTTTCTCCTTTCCCCTCTCCCATATCTCTTTATTTCCCTTCCCTATTTTTTACCCCTCCTTTCTTCAGACTCTCTTATCAAAATTACCTCTCCTCTTTCCTTTTTCCCTTCCCTGCCGCA